ATATTATGAGAGATTAACGGGTTCTTAATGTGTGACCGATAACGACCCGATTAGTTAACTCGTTGAAGCAAAACCCATTATTTTCTTGTCGTTTCGAATAAAATTAACAGGATGTGCAAAAAATTGTCATGTCTATGCTCCAATTTGGACCTCCCTTTTCTCTGATACATAATTTATCTTCTAGACTACTATACATCACACAAAATGCGCATTTCAAAGAACTTTATCGGAGTTGTTTTATTTCTCAGGTTACTAAGTGTCTCTCATGACTTTTCTTTGGGGATGAAGTTGAACTTTCACTGCCTGGAATTAGTTTTGGGGATGGACCATCATTTGTGTCTTTTATCTCTTGACTGACTTATAAATTTTTCCACAACGACTTTGTCTACCGTCTTTGTGGCGCTGGATGCAGAAGAATGAACCTCCTTTCATAAATTTCAAAGGTTGAGCAAATTCTCCTCCAATTATATTTTGACGGGAAAAATAATCATCTTAAGACAAAAAAAAAAAAAAGAGAAAAGAAATAAGACATGTAGAATATTATTCCTCGTGAGGTATATAATTATATATGCAAGTGGTAAATTGTCTTGATGGATAAGGTCTTTCTCTTTGACCAACGAAGAGAAAGCTTTGTTTACTCTGATACATAATTTATCTTCTAGATGACTACTCATTTATCTCACAGTGTGTATTTCAGATGACCTTATAGGAGTTATATTTCTCAGGTTACTAACCATCTCTCGCAAACAAGGTATGTTCTTCAAGGTATGTGGTATGAATGGGGTTATGATCCAAGTTAAGTTCTTTAATATGCCTTATTTTATAAGGGACTTCAAATATTTTCTTTATGTATGACAAATGATAACCACAAGCTGATTGGCTCTTAGTTCAACTCAATTTGGAAATGATGTTAAATACTTAGAAAATATCCAACTACAAAGTAATAACTTGAAAGAATGAAAATTTTAAGAGATCAAGCAAGTTAAACCCATTTTGGCAAACTTTCTTGCTAGTCGAGCAAGGATGAGGATGACGATGTAACCATTTTCTAAGCTTAGAGAATGCAACCTCGAGCGTTTATACTTTTACATTAATAATATGTTTTTTTTTTAATTTTGAACTCCCCCTTAAAACACTATTCATGAGGGTTTGTAGGGTTTTAAAAATCCAAACGATGATGCACCCATCACCAAATCGTGCGATCACGAGTGTTTGCATATTTTTTCACACTTGTAAATCAATTATTATGAAATTTTAATGTGCTTTAGTATTTTCTAAGCTTAGAGAATGCAACCTCGAGCGTTATACTTTTACATTAATAATATGTTTTTTTTTTTTAAATTTTGAACTCCCCCTTAAAACACTGTTCATGAGGGTTTGTAGGGTTTTAAAAATCCAAACGATGATGTACCCATCGCCAAATCGTGCGATCACGAGCGTTTGCATATTTTTTCACACTTGTAAATCAATTATTATGTTTAATGTGCTTTAGTATTTTTAAATTGCTTTGGTATCTTTAATGTGCTTTGAAACTTTTTAATCTTACTTATGTGAGATTAAATACTATGGCTATTGTAGTAAGATTTTTTAGTAGTTTAAAACTATTAACTACCTTTTTTTCTTATCAGGTCGAAACCGGTCATCCATAGGTAAATATTATGAGAGATTAACGGGTTCTTAATGTGTGACCGATAACGACCCGATTAGTTAACTCGTTGAAGCAAAACCCATTATTTTTCTTGTCGTTTCGAATAAAATTAACAGGATGTGCAAAAAATTGTCATGTCTATGCTCCAATTTGGACCTCCCTTTTCTCTGATACATAATTTATCTTCTAGACTACTATACATCACACAAAATGCGCATTTCAAAGAACTTTATCGGAGTTGTTTTATTTCTCAGGTTACTAAGTGTCTCTCATGACTTTTCTTTGGGGATGAAGTTGAACTTTCACTGCCTGGAATTAGTTTTGGGGATGGACCATCATTTGTGTCTTTTATCTCTTGACTGACTTATAAATTTTTCCACAACGACTTTGTCTACCGTCTTTGTGGCGCTGGATGTAGAAGAATGAACCTCCTTTCATAAATTTCAAAGGTTGAGCAAATTCTCCTCCAATTATATTTTGACGGGAAAAATAATCATCTTAAGACAAAAAAAAAAAAAAGAAGAGAAAAGAAATAAGACATGTAGAATATTGTTCCTCGTGAGGTATATAATTATATATGCAAGTGTTAAATTGTCTTGATGGATAAGGTCTTTCTCTTTGACCAACGAAGAGAAAGCTTTGTTTACTCTGATACATAATTTATCTTCTAGATGACTACTCATTTATCTCACAATGTGTATTTCAGATGACCTTATAGGAGTTATATTTCTCAGGTTACTAACCATCTCTCGCAAACAAGGTATGTTCTTCAAGGTATGTGGTATGAATGGGGTTATGATCCAAGTTAAGTTCTTTAATATGCCTTATTTTATAAGGGACTTCAAATATTTTCTTTATGTATGACAAATGACAAATGAAACACAAGCTGCTGATTGGCGCTTAGTTCAACTCAGTTTGGAAAATGATGTTAAAAAATACTTAGAAAATATCCAACTACAAAGTAATAACTTGAAAGAATGAAAATTTTAAGAGATCAAGCAAGTTAAACCCATTTTGGCAAACTTTCTTGCTAGTCGAGCAAGGATGAGGATGACGATGTAACCATTTTCTAAGCTTAGAGAATGCAACCTCGAGCGCTTATACTTTTACATTAATAATATGTTTTTTTTTTAATTTTGAACTCCCCCTTAAAACACTATTCATGAGGGTTTGTAGGGTTTTAAAAATCCAAACGATGATGCACCCATCACCAAATCGTGCGATCACAAGTGTTTGCATATTTTTTCACACTTGTAAATCAATTATTATGAAATTTTAATGTGCTTTGGTATTTTTAAATTGCTTTCGTATGTTTAATGTGCTTTGAAATTTTTTAATCTTACTTATGTGAGATTAAATATTATGGCTATTGTAGTAAGGTTTTTTTAGTGGTTTAAAATTATTAACTAGCTTTTTTCTTATCGGGTCGAAACTGGTCATACACGGGTAAATACTATGAGAGATTAATGGATTCTTAACGTATGACCTATAACGACCCAATTAGTTAACTCGTTGACCCAAAACCCGTTATTTTCTTATCGTTTCGAATAAAATTAACAAGCCGTTTAAGAAATTGTCATGTCTATGCTCCAATTTGGACCTCCCTTTTCTCTAATACATAATTTGTCTTCTAGACTACTATACATCACACAAAATGCGCATTTCAAATAACTTTATCGGAGTTGTTTTATTTCGCAGGTTACTAAATGTCTCTCATGACTTTTCTTTGGGGATGAAGTTGAACTATCATTGCCTGGAATTAGTTTTGGGGATGGACCATCATTTTTGCCTTTTATCTCTTGACTGACTTATAAATTTTTCCACAACGACATTGTCTACCGTCTTTGTGGCGCTAGATGTGGAAGAATGAAGCTTCTTTCATAAATTTCAAAGGCTGAGCAAAATCTCCTCCAATTATATTTTGACGGGAAAAATAATCATCTTTAAGACAAAAAAGAAAAAGAAATAAGACCTGTAGAATATTATTCCTCGTGAGGTATATAATTACATATGCAAGTGGTAAATTGTCTTGATGAATAAAGTCTTTCTCTTTGACCAACGAAGAGTAAGCTCTGTTTACTCTGATACATAATTTATCTTCTAGATGACTACTCATTCATCTCACAATGTGTATTTCAGAGGACCTTATATGAGTTGTATTTTTCAGGTTACTAACCATCTCTCGCAAACAAGGTATGTTCTTCAAGGTATGTGGCATAGATGGGGTTATGATCTAAGTTAAGTTCTTTTATATGCCTTATTTTATAAAGGACTTCAAATATTTTCTTTATGTATGACAAATGATAACCACAAGCTAATTGGCTCTTAGTTCAACTCAGTTTGCAATTCTCACATGGATATGTTTATATAAATGTACGAAAGACCATACGAAAATGAAAGAACAGAAAGGAAATGATGTTAAATACTTAGAAAATATCCAACTACAAAGTAATAACTCAAAAGAAATGAAAAATATAAGAGATCAGGCAAGTTAAACCCATTTGGGCAAACTTTCTTGCTAGTCGGGCAAGTTCGTGCACATTGTTGAAGTGATTTGAAATATTGTAGAATGCAGAGATTCAAAAATTTTATGAGTTGTGAGTTGAGTGCCATTTTCTTCTTTCTTTATGTTGTTATATATGGAACAAACATTTCTTCCGGTTTAAACCTTACACTCTTAGTATAATTATGTATGCTCCTAGTTGTTGATGTGAATACTAACAGAAGGAAAAATAAAATTTACATTGCAACTTGAGCCTTTATCCCCTCAAAATTACCAAAATGTCATCAGAAAGTAGTTTTTCCTCTGTAAAACCGCATGGGTTAAATGTACAGTGTGACAGGGTGTTTGTCGCCCACAATGCCACATGTAAAGTAGTTTCAAATCCTTGAGCTCAATTACTGTTCACTTATGTTGAAATTAAATATCTATTGGACAAGGATTGTCTGCCCTCCTCCTCGTACCCTTCTTTTTTGTGTGGTCACGGTTAAGCTACGTCAACATTTTATATTGTTTTTTTATAGATATAATAAAACAAAAATGAATAGTAATATAAAATGTTAACGTGGCTTAACCGTGACCACACAAACAGGAGGGCAAACAATCCTTGTCCATATCTATTAGTACTTGAATGAAATAAAGGCATTAGGCCTAATATAGGCCCAAACTTATTCTGGATCCAAACATCTTGTTCATTTTTTACCCTCCCATAGACGAGAAATTATAGTGTAGTACAGTAATACCTCGTCATCCGTGATATTTCCTTTCGAATTTCGCCATGTGTTATGTTTTTACACAAGTGGAATTTAATCTCATTTTTAATCTTTAAATAAATTTAAAAATGAAAAGAAAAAAAGAAAAAAAGAACAAAATAGATCGTGTTCTTGAAGTTTTTGCCTCCTCCGGCCCAATCTGGTAATCCCCTTCCACACACCGCCGCATCTCTTTTCTTCACGATTTGGGGATTAAACTCGAAAATGATCGGCATCCGAAAGCGGTGTGAAGGCGTTTGGAAATACATTCAGCGTGGCTGATGGGTTTGCTTGGCTGAGTCGGACTCATCCATTCAGCGTGGTTCTGGTTGAATTTGGAGAGTTGGTAAAGAAGAAAACAGGATTTGATTTGAAGGTTAGACAATTAGATTCAATTTTAGTTTCTGTATGGTTGCGAAGAAAGTATAACATTACAAGTTACTGGGAAGTGCAAGGCTAATTCTTTTGTTTTGAAATTTCCGTGACTGATGAGGAAATCATCAGAAAATTTTGGAACAGCAGCCATGGCGGAAACTGGGTGGGGCTGTGCCGTGGAAGGAGGCGCAAAGGCATCTAGGCTTTTGTTTCCTTTTAAATTTTCATTTTTTTATTTATCAAGAGTGAGATTGAGATTCAATTCCTGCTGTATAAAAGTGGTCGAACGTTTGCAATTTGTACTTGTATTTATGTTTTGGGGATGAAGTTGAACCATCACTGTCTGCAATTTGTTTTGGGGATGGACCATCCTTTTTGTCTTATATCTCTTGACTCACTACCGTCTTTGTAGGTCTGGAGATGTAGAAAAGTAATTTGCAGTAAATATCTTTACTAATGTGTGTATAAATAACACTCTAAATTACTCATTCCTCACACCAATCACCTACTTGATATCTACATGGATAGAGTCATGAGACTTGTTCCAATACTCAGCTTTCTTCTATCCATTGCGTCTTTTACACTCAGCTTATGCAATGGAAACCCGAATGTGCCTTGCCGAGAAAATGAGAGACAAACACTTCTTATGTTCAAGAAAGATCTCAATGATTCTTCAAATCTGCTTTCCTCTTGGGTTGCTGAAGGCGATTGTTGCACCTGGACCGGTGTTGCCTGCGACAATTTAACCGGTCATGTCCGTGAGCTCCACCTTGCTGGTTATTATGATGACGTGGCTGGTGAGGACCGTAAGCTGGGTGGTAAGGTAAATCCTTCTCTACTCAATTTAAAGCATCTCACCTACTTGGACTTGAGCTACAATGATTTTGGAGGACGACAGTTTCCTAGCTTTCTGGGTTCTCTTGAAGGTTTAAGATATCTTAACCTCTCGTTTGCATGGTTCAACGGAACCATTCCTCATCAGTTGGGAAATCTCTCGAGCCTGCGTTATCTGGACCTTTCTGATAACTATGGTTCGAAGGTCGAGAATCTCAAATGGCTCTTTGGTCTTTCTCAGTTGAAACATCTTGACATGAGTTATGTAGATCTTACCAACGCATCTCATTGGTTACAAGTAAACACACTCCCTTCTCTGCTGGTCGAGTTACATTTGTTTGATTGTGAACTTTATCACATGCCAAGTGGTATTGCGAACTTGACAAGTCTTAAAGTTCTTGATCTGTCCTACAACTATTTCAACTCTACCATACCGCAATGGTTACAAGTAAACACACTCCCTTCTCTCCTGGTCGAGTTGCACTTGTCGGATTGCAATCTTTATCACATACCAAGTGGTATTGCGAACTTGACAAGTCTTAAAGTTCTTGATCTATCCATAAACTATTTCAACTCTACCATACCTCAATGGTTGTACAGTTTGAACCATCTTGAGTCCCTTGATCTTTCTGTCAATGCTTTCCATGGTGAGATTTCGAGTTCCCTTGGAAACTTGACAGCCCTTGTTGATCTTCAATTACATCATAATCAGCTTGAAGGGGAAATCCCAAACTCATTGGGAAATCTTTGTAAGTTGACTTCTTTTGATCTATGGTCAAACAATTTCCGGGGGAGGGTATCAGAAATCTTTGAAATTTTGTCTAGCTGTAGTAATTTTGGTCAAATAGATTATTTACATCTTTCGGATAATAATTTTTCAGGTCATTTATCTGATCAACTGGGATTTTTAAAAAATTTACGCATCCTTGATCTTTCAAATAATTCAATATCGGGCCCCATTCCAGTGTCTTTAGGAAATCTATCACGTTTAGAGGAGTTGATCATTTCTGACAATTCATTCGAAGGCCCCATTCCAGTATCTTTAGGAAATCTATCAAGTTTAGAGGTGTTGATCATTTCTGACAATTCATTCGAGGGGGTTGTCTCTGAAGCTCATTTTACTAATCTTACAAGCTTGTTTACCTTTTATGCAAATGAGAACTCCTTGACTCTTAAAACTAGCCCAGACTGGGTTCCTCCTTTTCAACTTTCTACGTTGGGTTTAAGTTCTTGGCGTCTGGACCCATCACAGTTGCCTGCATGGCTTCAGAGTCAAAAACATTTGTTCGCTCTTAATATGTCCAATACAGGAATTTCTGGTACCATTCCGGCTTGGTTGTGGAACATTTTTTCTGTTGAAAACATGGGTCCAGGTATCTTTGTGGATCTCTCTCATAATCAATTGTCCGGGGAGGTTCCAAATATAGCTTCTACCCACAGGCCAAAACAAAAGCATTTGGAATTTGTTTATCTTGCCATTGACTTAGGATCTAACCAATTCAACGGTTCATTGCCTCTTGTGTCTTCGACAGTGATTGCACTAGATCTTTCCAATTCATTATTTTCTGGAACTCTCTCTCACTTCTTTTGTGATAGGAGTGATGTACCTAAAAACCTTCAAACTCTTCTTCTTGACAACAATCTCCTCACTGGAGAAATTCCGGATTGTCGGTTACACTGGCCAAACTTGACAGTAGTGAATTTAGAAGACAACAATTTGACGGGGAAAATTCCAAGCTCTATCGGGGACTTACTTTCCCTTCAATCATTGCACTTGCGCAATAATAACCTATATGGAGAATTACCCGTGTCCCTACAAAACTGTCAAGAGTTGCTCCTTCTTGACCTTCTTGGAAATAAGTTTGTTGGAAGCATTCCGATATGGTTTGGCCAAAGCTTGGTGGTTCTTATTCTTCGCTCAAATATGTTCCAAGGCACCATTCCTCATGAACTTTGTAGTCTCACAAAGCTCCAAATCTTGGACCTTGCGCATAACAATCTCTCGGGAACGATACCAAGATGTTTCCAAAATTTGTCATCCATGGCCACTAAATTTTCAAGTGAAGAAGCTCCCAGTATTGAATTCTCCGTTTCTTCGGTTACTGGTATGAATACTTTTCAGCTCTCCTACTCCTACACAGAGAATGCGGTTTTTGTGGCCAAAGGCAGAGAAGTGAAATATGACACAGTGCTTCGTTTGGTAACTAGCTTGGACCTTTCAAGGAACATGTTATTTGGAGAAATCCCTGAAGAGTTGACCAACCTCACTAGCCTACAAACATTGAATTTATCTGATAATCTTCTGGCCGGAAGAATCCCTTCCAAAATCGGTGATATGGGAGCGTTAGAGACGCTTGATTTGTCTGTGAACCAACTTTCTGGCGAAATTTCTCCAAGCATCTCGAATTTAACATTTCTCAATCATCTAAATTTGTCCTATAACAATCTGATTGGGCAAATTCCAAAAAGCACTCAGCTTCAGACCTTTGATTTGTCCAGTTATGTTGGCAATAAACTTTGCGGACCTCCACTGGAAGAGCGTTGCAGTACAAATGAGGCCATGCCACCAGTAGGTGATGAGAAGCAGAGAGAAGGTCATTTTCTTGAAGACGGTGGTTTCTATCTGAGTTTGGGGCTTGGTTTTGCATTTGGGTTTTGGATTGTTCTTGGTTCATTGTTGTCTAATGTGCCATGGAGCAATGCAATTTCTCAGTTCCAAAATCGCATTGTGAAGAAGTTTTATGCGGCAATCGCTGAACGTTATTAACTATTTTGTGCAGATAAATCGAGTATGTGTGATTTGTTTCTACTCTTTTGCTATCCAATTAGAATGTTACACTGTTGTATGCTTCTTTGTACCAATTTATTTTATCTTTTCCTTGGTTTTTTCTTTGGCCATATAAAATTGTAAGATTTGCTTTATAATTTCTGTGATAATTTTTAAATTTATTTTGTGAGTATATGATATGTTAATCTTATGTTGATTCACACAGTTGTATTCCTCTTTAGTATGTTTGATTTTCTATTGGAAAGCAAGATTTAATTTCAACTAGAAATTACGCCCGCGCGTTGCTGCGGGAACCAGCTGTTTCAGATGTAATCAGATGGATAAAACACATTTAAATTGAATAAATTCAAGACAATTACGAACAAACAGAGGGATACATGAGTGGGTGAGGCCGGTAAGATAAGCAGTTTTGCTTTTAACACATTTAAGTGAGTTGGCATATAAACATATTATATGGGAAAGTGTCTAATTAACAACTACTAATCAAACTGCAAAAGCAACATATGAGTTTTTCTGGGTTCAAAGTTCAAACACAGAATAGAACCAACAGAGTCAAAGGTCTTCATATGCATTATGAGAAAAAAAAACCTCATTACGGTATAAAAAATCATAACTTAAAGCTAAACCCAAAAAAGTAAGAGACAAACAATTGATGTTCCTTATTATGTCCATCTAAGAGATGGGCCAGTAAAATTTGTGAAGAAACACCTGCTGGTTTGTCCAACATGAGAAGATATAAAGTTCTCATTGACGATTCATTACTTGAGTGGTTTATTTATTTAAGTGATTTCTATTTTGTTAAGAAAATGATACCGCCATAAAAAAAATGGAGTTTTAACGAAAAGTCCACGGTACTGTTCACTTTAACGAAAAACCACATTTTTACACTAAAAAGTCAAACTTGATACTATTCATTTTACCCTTTATTTTGTCCTTATCATTAAAACTCCAAGTTTTCAAGCTCTTTTCATTAGTTTTCCTTAAAAAAAATAGAAATACATAACAGTTCAATCAAATCATTTTTTTATGTCCTATACTAACTGGTTGAAGATGCCCGAATCAAAACAAAATGGATATCTGCAAACTTGCTTGCTCTAAGGACAACGATTTCCAACTTTAGTAGAATCACATCCAACTCTTATCAATTACTTCTGAAATAGTAAAAAACCATGAAATTGTGCAGTCACTAAAGACCTAAATACTGAAATCACAAAAGAAAAACAACCCAATTCATAAATTAATGATTGAAAGGATATAATCCTACCTGAGGACCCTCAGATCACTTGAAAGTGTATCCCAAGTGTGAAGGCTGTCAGCGAAATTGAACTCCTGCCATTTTGAATTTGATAAAAGCATTACTTGTGAAGTACGCGTTCGTGCATGTCCTATAGATCTACCCGTTGTTGATTGGAAATTGAAAACTGATATTCGCAAGAAACAGCAGCTTAATTACAGTATTGATTTCGAAGTCTGTATATTTTGTGGTTAAGAGGAGGGTGATCCACTTAAATGCATAAAATTGGGGATTGACCTGTCATTTAAAATTTTAGCCCAGTCAGTCCTGTATAAAGAATTCTAGTGACCTAAATATGATATTCTCAAATAACATTGAAACCTTAACGTGTTAAATATTTAAGTAGCATTTTACTATTTATAAGGCTGTCGACAGGTGACACATAATAATTCTCGTCTTGGAAAAATTATTAATTTTGATCAAATCTCTAAGGAGATAGGTAATAAGAAAGTGCTAGGAAGTCACTGGATAAGCTTGAACCCCGGAACAATCTAGCTAAATAGTATCCGGTGTCATTCCATGCCATACCAATGGCATACTAATGCATGTATCCTCTTCAATTACATTTACATAAATGTGTTGTGGCATACTATGTCATGTTTTATATAAATTTAATCCTCCAATTTAACACGGTCACCAAAAAAATATATTGGAGAATCAAATTGAAAAATCCAACATAACCCAAATTTACATTAACAGACAAACAGATGCTACAGTAAAGTAAAAGAGAGCCAAGAACGGAATTTTACTTTATCTATGCCGATAACCGTTTGCGAACGAAACAAATACCAATTGGAATGCAAAAAATAATGAAGTGAAATAAGCACATGGAAGTGTTATTTATAATGAAGTGAAATTATCCACTATGGTTTATTTGACATATGGATAATTTCGTCTAAGAAAGAGAAATAAGTAGCGTCAAGCACAGTAAATTACCATCTGTTTGTATCTCAAAAGTTCACAAGTGTCCAGTTGCCTCTTTGCTGGACCCAACTCTATCCGTCTCACTCTACTTGCAAAGTTCAGTGAGCAAAATGTCTCACTCACACCATTTTCATTAGGACTTATTTGAACAAACATGAGTGTCTTCGAGTCTCCTCCTAAAACAACGAATGATATTCATTAGTTTAAGTTTCATCCAAGAAACCAGAGAATAAAATAAAAAATATGAACTTGGAATATTAAACAACTCAGAATAAGAATTGTTGATTCTTCTGTGATCCAAATGAAGTACCTAGAGAGTCTTGAAGCAAGTGGGTAAGCTTCGAGTTCCTGCACATAACACATAATTTAGTAAAAGAAAGTAATAGCTGAATACATCAGGTGGCAACTTGGCCAATATAAACAAAGAACTATTCATTAAACATAAAGGTATGTGTGAGCTTTTAGTTGCAAGTGCAGATATGACATCACCAAGGGAAGACAGAGACCTATTTATGTTTTGAGTTTCCTTGAGTCGTTCTCCTTGCATTACTGCCAGTTTGCAGAACTTCCCAGACTTCACTCATGTTGTTTACATGTGCCTCAACCAGACCTGGAACATGATGTATCCCCTCACCGAGTTGTCTTATTTCTAGCCTACAAATTATCGCAATACTGTGAAATGCTATTATCTTGAAATGATCCCATAACGTCCCATCCTTCGCACTTGTGAAGACATGGAACATCATGAGAACTGAACAGAAAGTCTCATGTTTTAACAATCATGCAGCATCCCACTCATGGCATAATTGTTTGTGGGATGACACAACTGGAGTCTATTTCTACAGAACCCATGAAACTAAACAATCCAAAATTAACAGATTACACTGACAACATTCCAACAAAAGAAAGAAGACCAAAAATATTATGTATTCTAAAGTAATTTAGGGAGCTGAAATAGCAAAAACCCACCTAATTCTAAACCTAAGTAAAACCTTCAATTAAACCCCAACTACAAACCTGAATTAAACCTTCAATTAAACTCCAAATTAAACTATTAATAAAACCCAAATTAAATCATCAATCAGGAAAGATAAAAATACAAAAGGGGATTTAAGAGGTGTACCTGGAGTGAGTGAGTGAGTGAGTGGGCGAGTGATGCGGCGACTGTGAGAGTCTGAGAATAACACAGAGATGGGATGTTTAGCACCAAACAAAAAAACTATAAAAAATTGTGTTCCTTCCATACAGTACTACGCTTCTAGCAACAAATATAGAATAAAGTACAAATCTGAAAGAGTGCCGAAATTACTGCATACGGAAAGTCCACCATTGTTGAACATCTCCCTGCAAAGGTATGTATGATATATATGATGCATGCGTATCAAATAGCATCAGCATGTTTCTAATTAGTATGATAGTCAGATAGTCAGATTGTTAGTTTAGGAGAAGATTATTGCCCAATCAACAGGTAGAATCAAAGTATGAATATATTCAGTTAATATTACAGTACAGATTTTGCATCCCAAGATATGTGGTTCTTATAGATTCATGAAATAAATGTTGAGAGTATCGCGTTTAAGAATGGGAAAAGGCATATCTAAACTAATTAAGGGTTACATATATATGGATTTCAGACTCTTAAGAAGGTGAAAAGGCAGAAAACAAAAGAATAATGACTTCAATTAAGAATTTAGTAGTGTACAAACTATCACAAACGAAAGGAGCAACATTTGATTTCAAAAAGATTTCAGGGATAATAAAACCCATTGAGGGAACACATATACAGGTTAAAAGGGCATAAGCGATGGCACAACATGAGTCCGTAACATCATTCAGAAGTCAATCATATGACAAACTACAAACCTAATTAAATCCAAAAACATGAAAATGAAAATCGCAAACACAGCAAATCCATTAGTTAATTGTCCAGTCCCCCAATTTAACTATTGTTACATGCATGCGATCAAATTAGACCTGGGAAGTGGGAAACATGCATAATCATTAAGCACTGAGTTGATTGCAGGGCAAGCAAGCATCAAATTAGAATCACTATATAACATCGTTAATTTAAACCAATTTTAAATGACTAAAACCTTTCCTCCATACATCTTAATAAATTAAGTTTTTTTTTATATTTCTGGTGTATTTTGATTTTCCCTCTCTTTGTATGATTTGAGCTCTAGTAGAACATGCTTTGTTATACATTAGATAAGTCTGCTAAAAAAGAGGAGGCTAGAGCCTAGAAACACTTATAAAGAAGATATTTCATAACGTTTCCATGTTGAGCTATGACCAAGGCAGAGTTAGACTCATATCAGGATCACTACAGGTTCTGGGAAAGGATTGCCAAAAGAATGCACGCATAACTTCTCCTACAATTACCTAAGCATCCTATTAATATACTTAACATGGTACACAGACTTTACAATCAAGAAAACGAAGAATGCAACAGTTGTAAGGTCTTGTTTCTTATCAAAATAGATCCCTCTTAAGAAATGGACTTATATGCACTAAATTTGAATACTAATCAGGAGATACATATGAATAGAGTTACAAAGGTCCTAAATCCTTATCCCATGACCCCATTTTCTTTCCCAAAATTTCCAGCCAACCAAACAGACGCCAACCTAACCCTAATCAGCAAATTTCTCAATCAAACACCACTCAATCACCCATCAAAAACCAAGGAAATTCAAGAAAAACGAAGAATGCAATAGTTGTAAGGTCTTGTTTCTTATCAAAATAGATCCCTCTTAAGAAAGGGAATGAGACAATTCTGAGAGGCAACTGCTGGGTAAGAGTACAAAATTGCATGCCTTCCATTTTAAAGTTCAAAATTTTCATTTCTATTCTGAAGATCAATATTATGTATCTTCTCATTTTTTCATGCATTTAGATACCTTTTGAGAGAAAGTCCCATGCTATTTTATTTCCATTTTGTGGTGTTCTAATCTTTCAAAAGTACTCCACACATGCAACGCTTCTTCAAAAGTGGAAAAAGCAGGGAAACCACGCACGCAGTCTGATTTTAAAGTAAGTTTGAAAGTCATTATACCTCCTGTTAGTTTATCCTATCCTCACTTGGGCTCCATATGGAAAGATTTTCTTGACAGTTCCTTCTACAAGCGTTCCCTCCTTAAGGTATAACAGTTCCTAAAACATTATATGGCAAACCAATGTCAGTTCTTATGAAAAATAAGATCACAGAATCTCAGAACAAACAAGGAGAGAACATTGCAAGCAACAAAAAACATGAATAAATCAAATGTCGAAGTCCAACCGACCCAAGCTTCTTTCTCACTCAATACTAAGTCATTCTTAGCTTCGTCTATTTGAGTAATCTGCACATGCATCCGGCAACTCACCTACACCATTAGGAAACAACATGTGTAAGAAGCAAACTAACAAATCAAACATATGCAACTAAGGGAGGAAAAGGTTAAACAATGAAAAGTTGTTAGTTGAGGTAAATCATACTCCACAATGAAAATTAGTAAAGATTAAAGTACAAAACAATTGAGGTAAATCATATACTCCAGAACGAAAAAATTTAAGAAATACAAACTTAAAATATTACCCATCACGCTAGCCGCTTCTTCTAACCCACCAATTGCTAAATGTTAAATTTCTTGAACTACACAACCTATGACAAATACCTGAACAGTAAGGGTGCGTTTGGTACGTGGGACGGGACGGGACGGAACGGAACGAGGCGTTCCGTCCCGCGTTTGGTGCGCTAAAAATGGGTGGAACGGGTTGTTCCACGGGACAGATTTTGGGTGTTTTTGCGTTCCACCTCTCCCCCCTGGAACGGGTTTGTTCCACGTCTGTGGAACACAATGTTTTACCATTTTAAGACAAATATACCCCATGTCTTTTTCAAAAATTACACCTTCGTTCCGTCCCGTCCCGTTCCGTTCCGTCCCGTCCCGTCCCGTTCCGTTCCGTCCCGTCCGCGTACCAAACGCACCCTAAGAGAACAATGGACATTCATTGTACTCAATCTGCATTTATCCCAGAACCAAGAAAGTTATGAAGAAACAGAAATGAAACTGTACAGCAGGTATACAGCAGGGAACAAACACTATGAAACTGGCACTCAAGTACTGTAAGGAATATCAGATTAGCATTCATCTAACCAGATCTTCTAGCTACTAACAATTAGTTGTTAAAACCCTAACACTAATCAAGCGATCCTACACATATATCTAGCTTTCTTCGCATCCTGCCAGTAATAAATTGCATTCAAGCGCGTAGTAGCAGCTTGCACAAATAAACAGTTTAAGTATGATAAACAGAAAAAGGAAACGGAAACATGAAAACAAATGGAATAAGCAGTGTCATAAAGATGCGATATCTGACCATGTAAATAAGTGTTCTTGAGTGACATTACCAGTAGATCAGTGAGTTCACGATAGAGCTTCTCTAGCTCCATGTGTTCCTGCAAAATGGAAAATATAACCCATAAATAACATAGTGCTCAATATAACCTAGTAAAACTCTTCATATGAAGATATACAAAAGGAGAGGAAGCAGATATCACTTGGCGCAAGGAATGCTCTGCATCCCTCTTCATGGAAGCCATCTCAACTCTCATTTTTTGGACTTCGGCCTGAAATCGAGCATTTCAAGGAGGTTGTTTGACAAAGCAAAAAATTCAGAACGCAAAGCTTCAAATTGATAATAACAACACTGTTGGGCAATAAACAGAGGGCACTTACCTCAAAGAAGAAAGCTTGACCTATGCATCCCTCTGACCTTGGCGTGCACGGTCCACTTCTTCCTCCCATGCCATAGTCGTACACTAATCCAAATTATACAATCCTCAACTACGCACTTCCCTTGACTTCTCCAATCAGATTATGGTCAGTCATTCACTTTCGACATATCAATAGAGCATGACCAATCTAGTTCACCCCAATAGTTCCTCTTCCTGTATAGGATAATGCATGATAATAATATGGCAACATGAAATTGCCCTCAATTTTTTCTAAATTTACTACCTTCTTCAACCAAATAAAACCTATTGTCTCCTCAAATATCATAAGATTAACAATTAAATGTTCAAACTTCAACTTCCCCTATATTCCCTTCCTCTTTACGCAGTAACCCAATTGAAAATTTGAAACCTCCCATCCGAAATACAAAACCAAAAAAAAAAATCAGAAAGGAAACAATACGTGCACATAGCAAATTTGATTAAAATACAGAAACGAATCACAAATTCCCACTTAAAACAAAATTAGAAGAGATGGCAATCTATAAAAATCAATAAACAAAAAATTGAGCAAAAGGGTAGTGAAAACTCACCTCCATCTTCGAGATTTTCCTGCCTAAACTGCTAGGGAACGTGGTCCGAAGCTTTAGCATAAGCAGACTTGAAGTGTCTCTGAGCTTTCAATCTTCCGGAAGAGAGAGGTGGTGCAGCGACGACCTTGGTGCCGTGAAGGAAGGTAGGCGCGGTGGCGGAAATAGAGAGGAGTTCGGCGGAGGAGGGGATCACAGCCGTCGGAATTGTGGTGGCGTCGACTGTGATTATGGTTTTGACTTCGGGCAACTGTCGGAAGAAGAGGGAGGGAGTCGAACCCTAGATCGGTGGCGGTTCGGCTGGTGTAGCGAGACCCCCGGTTGTAGAAAAGCTCCGAAGCGCTCGTCATACACACCAAACGCCTTGTTTTTTCACCTTGTCCTCCTCGAAACGTGTCTATTTGTGTCGGATTTTTTGACGAATTTACAGTGATGGATGGTTACAGAAAGAGTCGGAGAGGAAAAGAGGGAAAGAAAAGGGGATGGAAACGGAGTCGAAGCAATGCAAGACGATTGACACGTTGGCGCCCTTCCATTGTGCAAAACGGTGGCACTTTTGTAAATAAATTGAAATTATCAATCTGAACGGCAGGCCGAGGCGATGGTAATTTTGTAAATAACTCAAAATCCATCTCAAATGAATAGTGCCAATTGAAGGAATTGGATTTCCTCCTGAACAAATGATGGGATCTCTCATGATCACACAACACGGATCGTTGAATATAATTATTATAATTTTTAGAACAATCTCCTATTTGTAGCCGTTAGATCAAAATCTAACGATCTGTGTTGTGTGGTCATGAAGATCCCCACCAATTGTTCAGGAGGAGATCCAATTCCCCAATTGAAAACGTTACTTTATACTAAAGTAATATTATAACAATAATAATATTTTTTCTTCCAACGATTAGGACCTTAAACCGAAATTAGGTTCTCGAAAAACAGCTCCACTCCAGTTGGCTTGAATATGACCCAAAAAGATATACCCCATTGTGAAGAGTGAGGAGAAAAAAAATTTCTAGTTTGAACACATTAAGTCCTGCTCGCCCGCACAAATAAGTTCTTCGAAATTCTCTCGTTTCTCTCCAGCAACAAAACCCAAAATTGGCTAGCACACTCACATTTCCTTCGCAACACTATCTCAGTCGTAGCTTTAGAACTGTAGAACAATGGAGACACGGGACTTTCACTGTTATCCTCAGCTTTAGAACATTATACACCATCATGGAGACAAACGGGCGCGTATTCTTGTCCTTATAGTCATATCATAGGTTTTGACCCTCCATGAGAAACCAATGAAGCAGCTAACCAAGAAAAAACTAAACCAATAAAGAGAGATGGATTGTTACATAAAACGAGAAGCTGCCGCATGGTTATAAACTCCATCTTCTACATCTGATCTAACCAGATACAAATGTAAATGCTTCGACAAAGACAACCAAGAAGCAGTGGCGGATCCAGACTTTTATCATTGGGTGGTCCCAGTATTGGAGTTGAACGGGAAGAGTTCGGATCTCTCCCATCAAAAGCCACGATCAAGTGATCCGGACCGTTGAAATTTGATCCAACGGTTACAAACAGGGGGCTCTTCTAAAAGTTATAATAATTGTAGCCGTTTGATTAAATTTCAACGGTCCGGATCATTTGTTCTTGGGCCTTTGATGGGAGAGATCCGGACCCGATCTCTTCCCGAGTTGTACTATTTGAAATAACATTGTTTAAACTAATCGAGTATGATTTTCATGTATTATGTCGTACCATGTTCTTAATTTCTACACATTCAATTATTAAAACAAAAATTCATATAAATTAATGGAGATAAAAACATATGTATATTTGTTGAAAAACAAAACATATATATAGAAATTAACCATCACATGATCAAATCAATATAAAAAAATCATATATTACAATCCAAGCACTAACTAGTATATATTAGGAATCTAACAATTTTATCCGATACACATCAATTTAATAGCATTCTATTTTGGACTAAAATTAGAAAACTTATTTAAATTTAGACATTAGGACAGTATTAAAATAACAAAAATAAAATTAAGAAATGAAGCGGTGTTTGAGAGGAGAGAGGTGGACAGGTGATGGCTTGGTCATATGCGGTTAGAACGAAAAAGGAAACTGGGGAGAGAGGAAAAAGGGATTGGGCATTGGGATTACCGATTAGGGTCTCTTATATAAAATATTAAAATGGGAATTGGGCTCACACATTCATTTTAATTGTATTGGACTCAAACGGTGCGTTTTGGCCGATTCAGTTTAACAAGAAAACAACCTTCTTCTTTCTTTTTCATCTGCAGTCTGCAGAGAGTCACCGCTGCATATCTCCCCTCCGCAAAACTCCAGGCCGTTGGGTGGTCCTGAGACCACCCTAGTCCCTGAATGGATCCGCCTCTGCCGTTGGGTGGTCCTGGGACCACCCTAGTCCCTGAATGGATCCGCCTCTGCCAAGAAGTGAGCTCCCCCAATTTCCAAATCATTCAAATCTTTCCTGAAACCATCTCAGCTCAATGGAATGGAAGTTCTTACAAATCTAGAAATGGGACTCTTATCCGTGAAAATTCTATTTTTGAAGGGCTTAGACTCGATCTCCTCACAACAGAATTTGCATCCCATCTGTGTTTATGTAACCCATACTGGTTTTCAATATAAACATTCATAAAGGATCCCTTTCTTAAGGAAATAGCGGTTGACGCTTAGCTAGAAGATATACTTATTTTCCACCTTCATCTAGTTAAGTTGAATTATCACTTATTAAGTTATTGTGCCAATTTTTTTCAACTCCTGAATTCAGGACTCGGTTTGATTGCAGTATTGGGTGTATTTTTATTCATGCGTTAAACATCTACATTTTGTGTTCGTAGTAGATTCTCTTCTAACTAGGGATTATCAATTTTTCGTCATTGAAACTTAGTTTAAGATTTTTTTTTCTTATGATTTCATCACTTTTACTTCAGCATGCTAGTCGTCACAACTTCTGGAATTGGGTTTATTCATGGAAGTGGCCATGCCATTGATTTTGCTGGACTTTGTTGCACATGTGCTGGTACCATGATGGTTGCAGCATCTGCTAATTCCTTAAATCAGGTTTGTGTGCCCCTTGTTATTCGGCTCTTTTTGGGCCTGGCTTATTGTGTAGATGAAAATATTTTTTGAATGGCACGGTCTTTTGTAATGGTGAAAGGTATAGAAAAGCGAAGCAAGAGGCGAAGAAAGCTGTCAGAGAAGCTAAGTTAGCGGCTTACGACGATATGTATAAACGACTAGATACCAAAGAAGGAGAGTTAGATATCTATAAACTATCTAGAGCAAGGGAAAAGAAGACAAGGGACCTAAACCAAGTGAGGTGCATCAAGGATGAGGATGGAAAGGTTCTTGCTACAGAGAACGCGGTTAAAGACAGATGGAGAGGTTATTTTCATAATCTTTTCAATGAAGGACATGAAATGAGTGCTTCTTTAGGGGAGTTGAGTAACTCAGAAGAGTGTAGAAACTACTCTTTTTATCGTCGAATCCGGAAGGAAGAAGTGGTTGTAGCTTTGAAGAAGATGAAGCATAGAAAAGCAATAGGCCCAGACGATATACCAATCGAAGTGTGGAAACTTTTGGGAGAGACAGGTATAACATGGCTCACTGACCTTTTCAATAGGATTTTGAAAACGAAGAAGATGCCAAATGAGTGGCGAATGAGCACTTTGGTGCCTATCTACAAGAATAAGGGCGACGTACAAAATTGCATGAACTATAGGGGTATTAAGCTAATGAGTCATACAATGAAGCTCTGGGAGAGAGTCATTGAGCATAGATTGAGGCAAGAGACACGGGTTTCGGACAACCAATTCGGGTTCATGCTAGGGCGCTCAACCATGGAGGCAATCTATCTCTTACGAAGATTGATGGAAAGATATAGAGATGGGAAAAAGGATTTACACATGGTCTTTATAGATTTGGAAAAAGCGTATGATATAGGGTCCCAAGAGACATTCTTTTGGAGGATTTTAGAGAAGAAAGGAGTACGAGTAGCATATATCCAAGCTATAAAGGATATGTATGAAGGAGCAAAGACTGCCGTAAGAAAACTCATGAAGGACAAACCGAAAGCTTTCCCATAACTGTAGGATTACATCAAGGCTCATCCTTAAGTCCTTACCTTTTTGCGTTGGTAATGGATGAGTTTAACACGACATATTCAAGATGATATTCCTTGGTGTATGCTTTTCGCAGACGATATAGTGTTGATAGATGAAACTCAGGAAGGGGTAAATGCAAAGCTTAACCTTTGGAGAGAAGTGTTGGAATCTAAAGGTCTTCGCCTAAGCCGATCAAAGACAGAAGATATAATGGAGTGCAAGTTCAGTGCAAATGGAGGCCAAAACGAGTTAGGGTGAGGATCGGAGATCAAGAAATACCAAAGAGCGACCGTTTTCGTTACCTAGGATCTATCTTGCAAAAGAATGGAGAATTAGATGGAGATCTCAACCATAGAATACAAGCTGGATGGATGAAGTGGAAGAGTGCATCCGGCGTGTTGTGTGACCGCCGTATGCCACTGAAGCTCAAGGGAAAATTTTATAGGACGGCAATAAGGCCGGGCGATGCTGTATGGCACAGAATGTTGGGCGGTGAAACATCAACACGTACACAAATGGGTGTAGCGGAGATGAGGATGCTTCGTTGAATGTGTGGGCACACGAGAAAGGATAAGATTAGGAATGAGGATATCCGGGGGGTAAAGTAGGAGTAGCCGAAATTGAAGGAAAGATGAGAGAAAATCGGTTACGGTGGTTTGGACATGTGCAAAGAAGGCCTACTGACGTTCCGATTAGAAGATGCGACTATGGGACAGAGGTTCAGGGCCGAAGGGGTAGAGGAAGACCTAGGGAAACTTTGGAAGAGACTCTAAGAAAAGACTTAGAGTACTTGGATCTAACGAAGGACATGACACAGGATCGAGCACAATGGCGTTCTAAGATTCATATAGCCGATCCCACTCAGTGACTTGGATTTTCCAAGTCTCCAACCGAGAAGTTTTCCTCACTCGGGAAATTAAGGGAACACTACCCCAACCTACATGCTCCACTCAGAAAGCTTCAACATACAAGCTTTAACAAAAGAAAATTCAAAGAACTTAGCGAAGAAGGCTTTGGTGTATTTAACACAATACGTTGAAATGAAGGAAAGCTTATTTATTGATATCCCCGATAAGCTACAAATATGTACATATACATGAGTCAAAATAAGCACACAAGAGGGAGCCTTCACAAAGGTTGCTTAGGAGAAGTCTCAGCAGTCGGTAGAACCCCAGAAAGAGAAGGCACCGGAGGAGGATCATTTGGAGCCTCAGTACTGGACAGAACCCTAGAAGGAGGAGGCATCAGAGGTTGATCATTTGGAGCTTCATTACGCGGTACAGCTCCAGAAGACGAAGGCAATAAATGCCTTTGGAACAAACCCACAAATCTCTGATGATCAAGTAAAACCTGACCATCAGTTTCCTTCATCTGGTCAAGCTTCCTCTTCATGTTTGTAGCA